TACACCATGCTCTCTTTCAGTCTACAGTTTTACCCCTCTCTTATTTATCCTTCGTCTTCCATTTTGTTTTGAATTCCTCTGTGAAAAGCAATGTGAGTAATACCTATCACAATCTAATGAAGCAGAACAATACAGCTCATCTTAATGGGATGATAAGCGACTCGATGTTCATTTCATTTGGACGTCTTATACTTATGAGTCTGGATTCTTTTTTAATTATTGTGCAATATTTGTACAACATTTATAGTGTAGACTTAACTGCAAACATTGGCAACAACAGTATGATATTTTAATGTATTTATATAATTAGATATTAGTGGTGGGAGTAGCGGAAGGTTAATGTGACAAATATGATGTGAGATGGTAGTGAGAGACAGTAAACAGATAACTAATAAAGAGGTAAAATAGCAGGCCTGACAGCTAAACAACATTAATTAAGTTCTGTTATGCTGAGGGAGCTGCATATTTAGGTCATGATTCTCCACAGGATCATCACAATATTCACTTCAAGTATCGCCCTGCCACTGTAGGCTTAAGAAATAGCTGTTTGTAGTTCCCTTTGTGTCAGTGTGAATGTTGGGTGTGCCTAGCTTTATTTGAAAGCATTGAAATGCATCAATACCTGACCATCTGCCATTATATATACGTCTGGTTAATCCAAACAACAATAGGAAATAAAATAGTCTTACATCTACGTTTAAAAATCCCAGATTGTGTTCATTCTTTAATGTCGGTCCAACATCTGTAAACAAGCGCTCTCATTTTTCATAAAGGAGCATTTGGTTATGAATTATAAAACATTTGTAAACACATGAATAAATCAGATGGCTATCCCTGGCCTTTAGTGAAAACAACAAGCGGCTGACACACGTTTGCTTTTTTAGTGCATAACACACATGCATATGAACTCCACTCTAAAATAAATCATATAAATGATGACAGATGAACATTATTTTAAAGTGATTCCTTAAATTCCTTCAAGTATTCAGTTTACAATACGATAAAGCATAACATACATTCAATAAGACTTACCTCGAAAAATTGATTAATATTTTTATTTGACATATTCATCAGCCCAATAATTAATTTTCAAGAATTGTACAGATTATTTTGGTCAATTTGCTTTTAACACAAATCGTTTTAGGATCCATATGTACTTTTACCAGTCTCTTGCCTGAGTTAAACACGAGGAAAGCTCTCACAGTGTGGCACTTGTGGATAAAAGCTTCCACACAGGGACTAAATGTAGTTCAACAACCCCATCTGAATAAGGTGAGGACATAGAAAAGGAAAAATGTCCAACATGATCGTCCATGACAGCTTTTTGATCGAGCTGTTTGAGAAGTGTAGCTGTAGTGTAGATGCGGGCAGCCTATAATCACAAATATGTTTTTGAAAATGCAAAGGTATTTCTCCTATTCGTGTAAGGTGAAATTGATTTGAAACCGTCTAGAATGTTCAGCTTTGTCCAAATGTATTTCTCTTCTATTGGTTGCCACCCAAACTTTGTCATATCCTAGCTTGAAATGTCAAATGAAGGAGCAGCGTATATTTTCTGCGTACCTATTGCTGTTGACAGATACAGCATCTCATCCGTCTTCTGTCAAGCAGTAATATAACTTGCCCAACCCCTTCCCCCCCAGCCCACCATGTGATACCTCATGAAGGGTAACTTACAAAAGGGTGATGGCAGAATAACCTTCTAGATATGATCCCCATGTCCTGTATGTGGAGACATGTTTGATAGTTGCTGTGGAATATATTCCTATACGAAGGCACAGCTGCCCAAGTCTTGATTTAGCAACCCATATGGTGAGACAGACGGGCATTCCCACATGAGATGTCGCTACAATTAGATGTCACGTTGTGGCCCTGTCCACTATGAGAGTCTATACAGTGTGTCCTGATATGGTTGTCTTGAAGCACAAAGACACACCAGCAGCTACACGGTGCCCAGCTGTGTGGCGATGCTTCTACGAGCTTTCATCCCGGCTGCAGCTCAAATGTTGAAGTGGCTGGAGAAAGCAGGAGCCGGGGTTAGTCATCACCCGCTGCCGGTTGTCCAGCTGTTCTGTCTTCATCCCAACTGTTGCTAAAGAAAGCAGTCAACCCCCTCTTTCTGTTTTGTGATAAAAGACACATTCCCACATCCTAACAGTGATGAAGGCGTGTGTTCTGGCAGCTCCTATTGAGCGCTCATCGTCTCTGCCTCCTGTTAATCTGAACTTGACCAAGTGTTGTCTCTTTCTCCATTTGTGGAACAGGCTTTATCTATTCTCTGTGGTCTCATACAAAAGACGGACATTAATTGCAGGGTAGTCGCTTCTTTGAAGCCCATTGGCATGAAGAAACGACGAGACTGTTGATTTTCATTTTCACTTTACAAGCCATGTTATTTGCTGGTCTAGAAGAACATTTGAGACATGATAATTGACAGTTTCAGATGCTTACTGTGGTTCCCAATGCACATAGGATAACAAATTACCTATCAGCATGTGTATCAGTGTGCTGCATTTTACAACCTGATTAACATTTAGTCTTAAGGTTTTCGGTTATATTAAGGCTACGTTACATTACACTCGTTTTACTTCTAGCACATACTGCATCTTACTTTGCATGCAGTATGCAGATAATTGGGACTATTTTGTTCTAACATGGCGCCTCGCACTTAGACTTTCTTGCTCATATATTTTGTGCAAATGATTTTGGGTCAGAATAGACATATAAGCATGCTGGCTAGCATACTGCAAAATGTGACTTGATTACATCTTCATATTGTCAAACTGTATTTGACATATTATGTTTTGGGACATAATACATGGTTTCCTTGCATACTAAACAGCACGGCAGTATTGGTAATGGAACACTGTTTCTGTTTTCATTCAATGACAATTCACCACACTCAGAAATGATGTCATGTTGTATTGCACGTAGCGAATACATATTGATCAGAGCAATTCTAAACTATAAACATTGTATGAAAGTGAGGCTATAGTTAGCTTAGCAATAAATGAGTTGTCCTTGAAAGGTATCAAGAACAAATCCAAATACTGGCCTGTTAGTACTTGAGTGAGAATGGAGAGCTAGAACACGGTGACTCTCCTAAAGACACAGACAGGTGGATGGATGTTGAAGTGTCTGCCTGCTCCTTGTCACTGTCTCAATACTCTGCTTCATGTCAAGAGGCAAACTCCAGATGATGAGAAGGAGGTGGACCCTCATATGGACACTTTTTGGGAAAGTGGGAGACCTGTTTGCCAAAAGATGAAAACACACAATCTGTATGCTGTGGTGCACACTTGATAGGTTAGCCATGTCAAAGCACTCAGCTGTTCACTTGTATGAGTCTCTGCCACATTTGTTCTCTTTTGAGCGTTTTGGTGGACTCCATACTTGAAAATGACACAAAGGTTGCATTGCTTACGCTGGTTGTTAAATTGCTGTCAAAATCACTCTGCCTTGATGTTAAATTATGAATTGCTTATGTCAGATACTGTATGCCATTAAATTATTATATTTTTTTACCAATCTTTTTTTTGTAACAAATATTTGATATATAAAGCTTTTGTCGTTTCAATCAGCATCATTCATAGTACTTATTAAGGGATTCTTGCTTTACATTGCTATGTTGTATTGTGCAAACGTATGTATTATACACCATGTATTTTTGTTGACTTTACATGGCCAGCATACTTAATTTATTTTTGCACAAAGCACTGCATCAGTCTTTTTCTTTTTCTTTTTATCATACATTTTTTATTGCAACTTCTTCAATTTACAACACGGTACAGAAGACAATTCAGGTTGCACAACATTTTGGATTAATTCAATCCCATCCCTCTATCCTTCATCCCACCCAGCACCCGTAACATTAGCCCAAATTGCATCCCAATCCAATTCTTGTCCTAAAGTGGATATTTCCCTATATCAGTCTTTTTCTAATGGGGAATATCGCATTCTGCTGCACCAAAACCACAGCAAAAACACATGTATCCATTTTCTACACAACAGATTCAGTTTTAATCATGAGGGCTGGAGTAAAACTGTTTTCCCCCATTCTATTGAAAGTCAAAATATATGTTTTCTCGGCTGGCTGAGCTGTGACAGGCCTCAGTTTCCCCCATTATTGATTGTTACTTTTATCTGTTTCTTCTCTTGCGGTTCCTGTCAAATTGTAGAGCTTCAATATCATACATACTGTGTCCACACCTCCGTGTTCACAGTAAACAAGCAACTTCTTCAGTTCACATTGTCACTTCAGAAATGATATTTTTAAATCAACAAAAGGAAATGAGAAACAAGGAAATGCAATAGTATATTACTGTAGCCAGAATTTGAAAGTTTTTTTCATATAGCAAAATCGATGACGGCACTGTCATCACATGTTTAATGTGTTTTATTAATCCAATGTAATTTATTATTTTCAGTGTGAAACATAGCTTATATTAATAAGTGTGTGGAATAAGGACATCTAATTTAAATTAAACAACTATTTATATGCACAACTTGTTGATTATCTTCTTCATGATTAATTACTGTTTGAGCGTGCTGTAAAACTATTGGAAGTCAGAGCTTGGCCACTGCCATATAAGCTTTATTTAAATCCTTCCATTATTTTAAAATTAGCTTCTGCTGATCCCATCCTCTGGTAAACAGAGGGGACATGTCTCTATCGTGTGTCTACACGGCGGCCCCCAACCAACTCCAGGGTGTTTCTGAGGATTAACAACAGATTGAGTTTTGCTTGCTTGAAGCTAACAGAAGTATGTGTCGTTGTGTTACAATGCCACTGAGCTCATCCCCAACGTGTTCCACATTCTGCTGTTGTTTGTGTGTCTGATTGTATGTGCATATTTGAGTATGAGGTTGGGGGTATATTTGTTGCATTTCCTCCCCTGTCACTCATTCTCCAATGGTAGAAAAAAAAGTGTCAACCAATACTATCATAGTGTCAGATCCCTCGTCTCTATCTCACTGGAGAAAGAGCATAAAAAGCTCACAAGGTTCTGCTGCAAACGGAATAATTAATTTTCTATCAAAGAAGATCACACCAGCAAGGGTTAAGAGGGGAGAGCTCTGGTGGGAGCATGTGTTAATGTCGTTTATGACTTTGCAAATTATACATTATAGGCAAGAGCAGAGTGGAAACTCAATGACTCGTGACTACATATGGATCTAAGGCTGAAACTGAACTCTGTCTCCATCTTTATCCATCCATCTGCCACTTGTTCTCTCAGTTAACGCTTTGAAGTCTAAATAACGCCAGAAAGTTACTTGGTTATGCTTTTTAAACGCAGGAGAAGTCGAGCGACGGTAGCTTATAACTAGAGATGTCCCGATCCGATCACGTGATTTTCAGGGGATCGGAGCCGATCGCGTGATTTTCAAAAGATCGGAATCGAGAGAAAAAAATCGGGATTCTTTTTTTTTTTTTTTAAATACTTTTTTTAAATTTTGTATTCAATGTTACAAAACAAAAATGACCATGTTCAAGTCTTAAAGTCATCCTGAGGCCTTAGTTTTGGTTTCAAATTACACAACATCATGTATGTGTTGCTTCTTTGGGGCTTGNTGTGTGTGTGTGTGTGTGTGTGTGTGTGTGTGTGTGTGTGTGTGTGTGTGTGTGTGTGTGTGTGTGTGTGTGTGTGTGTGTGTGTGTGTGTGTGTGTGTGTGTGCTACACCAAGTCGCCTTTCTGTTTGTGCTCCATTTACTCCCTTTTCCAGTCTTTAGCTTTATCTGGATTGGTGTCATGCCCCTAATCCCTACACCGCTTCCTTCTCTTTCAAGATTTCCCTCTGCTGTGCTTCGCCTTTTTTTTTTCTGTTTCTTTTAGCCCCTCTGTCTCAGTCTATCAACATGTTTTCCTTATTCAAGCCATTGTATTTCAGAGCTCATTACAAACTGTAAAATACGTTTGTATTTATTTAGAGTACAGTATTTTCTGTTTGAAAAGATTGTCAATACAGCATCAACAAAATAAGAGATTTATACTTTATTTGCCTGGTGGTATTGACACCTTTTTTTAACGAAAACAATCTAAAACAAAGTGAAAGTGCATTGATTGCAGGTGGAATTATCACAGCCCCTTTACCAGGGATGTTTCATCCCTCTTAATTGAAATAGGATTTACGACAGATTTAAAAATGTATGTGAGATAAATGAGCCGTTAAGATGGACATTTTTCTTTGCGGTGCATTCCCTCTCTCTCTCTCTCTCACTTCCTCTGTTCATCTTTCTGCTCCACTAACCACGCTCAGTCACAGCGCTGCTCCCTGCTCTCATCTGACAGGATCTGCTGAGCAGGGTGAAAGTTGGAGACGAGGACAGAGACCCTTCAATCCCTCTGTCTGTCAACTCTGTCCTCTTTTTCCTTTTTCTTTGGTTCCACAGTTTGATAATTCAGCATGGCCCCGATTAGACAGGGTACAAACATGCACTACTAAATACAAATATTGGCAGGTAGTCAGCATTTTGGGGGATATAACATTCCCAAATCCTGTGTGGCAACCTAAGGTGTTTTTGTCTGTCCTCTGAAATTCTCTCCTCTATCAGTCTTTCTTTACTTCTCCGCCTTTCACAAGTTTGTTTCCCTAACATTGTTTCTCCCCATGTCTGTCGTTGTCTCTCGCTATGTCTCTCTGCACCCTTGTCGCTGAGAATAAGCTCAAATCCCCCAGTAAGCCAGTGGGGTCGTCCCAGTGCTCTGTACAGGACAGACACAGCCCAAGGTGACTGTATGTAGAACGCTCCTCAGGAGAAGGGGAACACCTGCTCGGACAAAAGGTCTCAACCACACGTACATACATGCAATATATCGCTGTCTCGTCCCCATCATAAGTAGCAAACCTTGACTCGTTTACACTCAAATCCACGAGACACAGTGAAAAAGGGGTCAGGTCAGAAATGATTAGGAGTGTTGAAATTAATCGTTTCTACGATGCATCGCGATGCGGACGTAGACGATTCTGCATCGATGCAGTGACAGAACATAATCGATTATAGCGTAGCAACGTTGCTTCCTGATTTTACGGCCGCGGCTTTGCAATAACGTTTGTGTTTCTGTCACTTTAATATCAAATCGGTCGGTGACGCAGAGATCAAGGAACAGACGTGACACCAACACGGAGCAGTCTGCTTCATCCGCCAACACAAGAACACCAGTCCAGAACCAGCAGCAGAAGAATCCGCTCTGAATCACTCCGTGTCGCTGCGGCTCAGACACACAGGGATTTATGTTTTTTAAAAATACTCGCGTTACAATCATGTCAAGTTTTTGGTAGATTTTGTTAGGTCTTGGATTGCAGAGTATGAATGTCCTCTTGCTATTTTCAGACGATATATACTATACACAAACATGACTTGAGTCTGAACACATCAGACAACAGGAGTATTTACAACAGCATATACAAACAAAAATACTGCATGTGGGTGCACACTTACTGTCTCTAAGTTAGCTTCATCATCGTCGGACAAAAAGACGTGCTGCAGGTACGAAACATACTACCAATAGAAATACATTGCTATTAAAATCGTTCTGCGTGACACGAAAAGAAGGGGAAATCGTGTTGGTGAACACGAATCAATAGATTAAATGTCGTGACTATAACACGAAATGCCGTGAGACTGGCTTGTGCGATCACCGTCTCCTCTGTTCCTCCAAACCCCGCCCCCCCTGAAAATAATGAGTGACAGGCTGATAGAAACCTGATAGAAACGTTATTATTCACTTAATCACTGATTGAGATATGATGAAGCTAACTTAGAGACAGTAAGTGTGCACCCACATGCAGTATTTTAGTTTGTATATGCTGTTGTAAATACTCCTGTTGTCTGATGTGTTCAGACTCAAGTCATGTTAGTGCTGCCACATTCAGGACCTTCAGGGTCCTTTTTTTAACAGAAGACCGTTGCTAGAAGCTGCAGCTAGACTGCAGAAGCATTAGTTTTTAGTTTTTGAGGATGGAACAATGTCACACACAGATACTGTATAGGGATGCTATACAATCGATTTATTTTGGTTTATAAATTAATGTCAAGACATTTATGTTATTGATTTCTGAAGCACTTTCTAAATAATAAAAAGAGACTTCATATGTATTTACTGCATGTATTCATTGATGAAAAAGAAGCCATGTGCAGTAATATAGAAAATTGAGGATGCAACGCATTGGTATGAATCGTGATGCATCGGGATATCGAATCGAATCAGTCACAGGATAATCGTAATCGAATCGTGAGACCAGTGAAGATGCACAGCCCTAGACATGATTCACTCTGTTTTTTGCTTTTGAGCTCTGATCTTTATCTTCATATAGCTTGATAAGGTCAATATGGGCTATGATAACCAGTTTATGCAATATTGATTTGCTATTGAGTCTGATTGTTGCCAGACGGCGCCCAGCAGGTGGCCTTGAGGCATAATCAATTTATCAGCAACTTTAATCGACAAGGACCTCTGCAATAAAGACAGACAGTGTGTCCTCATGTAATCCAATAGAGCAGCCTCTGACTCTGTTGGTGTGTGTGTGTGTGTGTGTGTGTGTGTGTGTGTGTGTGTGTGTGTGTGTGTGTGTGTGTGTGTGTGTGTGTGTGTGTGGTTGGGTAGGGGCTTGAAGGATGTTAGGGAATGGGCCACCAATTTGGCCGCCTTAACACACTGGGGACATTCCGTGGCCAGAGAGATAGCGGCTTCATTAGAGTTTTAATTTCATTTTTAATCAGGCAGTCCAGTGAGGTAAGACATCTAAAATAACATTCATTAATAGAGACACATACTGTCCAAAAGGATCTGTGTATCCTACAGCAGGGACAAAACGGAGGCAAACTTTTATTTTGTATTCCTCCAGTCAAAACAAATTAACAAGGGCTGGCAAATGCAAATGGCCGATGTTTTTATGCCCAGCTTGAAAGGGTGAGTCATCCTTGTCATGGTGTCATCCCTGTCACCTTTGCTTTGGCACAGGCACAAGACAAATGTGTGTGCCCGTGACCTGGCACTGGCCTCCCTGACACACCAGTGATTGAGACAGCCAGACAACGTAATCAGCAAGTCATTTACGGGCTGCCGTCTAAAGAGAAGGCATCATTAGAAATTGTGTTTCATCATTAGGAATTGTGTATCAAACATGTCACAAATGCACTCTTCCATCAAAGGAGTAATATCTCTGGCTCAATATTTCAAATACACTATCCCTCCCTCTCCCTCCTGTTCTTTTTTCTCCCCACCCTCTGCTCAGTAGATTCACCATCACACTGTATACCAGACGGTTGGAGCTAGGAATAAATGGAAGTGACACCCCATGTATCCTTCTGTGTGACCTCAGGCCAAATTCCCTATACAGCACCTCCACTGCTGTGTTTCCTGTCACAGCAGGAAAACAGACATACTTGAAAGCTTTCCAAATCCTCTCTGTTGTTTAAAAGAGCACAGAAAAGCTATGAAGTTCAAACCCAGGTTTCATATTATCATTCGGTTTCAAATGTAAAGATAACTAGAAAAGCACAAAAGACCTGTGGGCGTTCAGGTGCTGCTCGGGTGGTTCATTTCAAACGTTGGGAAGTGGTTCTTCTGTGTGTTCATGAGCTTTAAGTCTTAATGTGGAAACAACATTGGCTACACAGATATGTTGTGTTTTTTCAAATAATCTGTTGGCACTGTTGTTTTGACTCGAGGGGGCGTTACAAATAATTCACAGAGTTGGAAAGCGTTTTTCCAATTATTCTGACACCATATGAAATCATCAGAAATGCCATATCTGGTAATGTTAACCAAAGGGAAACATTAATTGTTAAGCGACCCCTAATTCAGATCTGTTCAAAAATATAATTAGTTCTTCCCACGCTACAAACTCACACCAAAAAACCGGGTCAGAAGTTTTTGGGTAATCATGCTGACAGAAAAACATTATCTCTTTGGGGGATTAAAAACATCCAACTACAGAATGTTTGAACTACAAATATTAATCAGAAAAATCATCAAACATGATGTTATTACCTTTAGTAAATGCTAATTTCAGTTTTCTTTCACCAAAACAAATAACAATGATAAGACTTTAAAATTGTGTTTCCAATGAAGAAATTATTTTGTCACAAGGTTACATTTCATCACTGTCAAAAAGAGGGAGAAGCAGTCGATGTAAAGGCTGTTTCAATGCAGAAACAAACGTTAACAGTTCCAATTTCCTTTTCTAGTCTGTGAATAAGTAGGTGGTTTTCCTTGTGTGATTGTAATTACTACACTCATGCATCGGTGCACATAGTTTGAGGAATAGAGGGTTAAAGATGGATTTCTGTTTGGTGTGTGAGAGCGAATCTGCGGGGTTCAGCGGCCCGCCGTATGGCTGAGTGATGCTCTCCGCCTGGCCGCCA